TGGGTCAGTTTTGCACGCATATGGACAATAATAAACTTGCCTGGCTTGTTGAGCCACAATATAGACATCATCTCCTTCATAGAAGGAATCCTGTCTAGTTTCGACTATTCCAAGTTTAGGAGACTTTCTCTGTACTGCAGGTTTAAACCACTGGCATTTGAATACGACAAGCTTAGGTGCATTTTCACCATGGTATTCGAGCTCGTATATTTCTTCAACTGTGCCATAATAGTCCTCCTGATCACGACCTCCTCTCTAGGACGGTAGGGTTCACCATGGTGCACCCACCGGGTATAGTTTGGCATAAATCCATACTTGCAAAGATGCTTCATCATGACTTCCCTTGTTCTTCTTTTCTTGTTTTCACATTCGCTGCAGGGACAGAACGTGTCTCTCGCTCCCTTAGCTGCCTTAAATGCATGGTCCAAGAATTTCTCGGTCTTATCCATCCATTCACGGGTGATTTGAGACTGACTTGGGCGTCCCGTGTACATCCACTCACGGGTATCCATCCTCTAGCATATACACATAACGGAGTAAAGTAACCATAAGTCGCATCTGCACGGCGTGCCTACTGTCTAATAGGTGAGGATAGGTCCTAATCCCACCCGTGGATGCGTAGATGAGGTTAGTTTCCATGCTCTACTCCGATCCGAGACAGAATTTCGGCAGCACCTACCCGCTGCTCTCCCGATACACGTCCTGGAAGGGAGAGTGTGTATCTAGAGAACAACAGGGAGGTGGTGCCGAAACTCCGTCTCGGATCCGAGCAGAACATGGAAACTAACCCATCTACCCATCCGCGGGCTGTCCAATTACACCTGGACAATCCGAAATAGATACGGTCATAGATATGTGGAGATCCGCATACCTCCAATCATATCTGTTTCGGACGGGAGACGCCTAACTGGGCTACACCGATCTACGTACGACAACGGTAAGGAAAAGAGCTCAATTATACCTAGGGTGGCGGTGGAGAAAGGTTAGCGACGCAGTGGCGAGTCGGTGCAGTGGCGAGTCGGCGCTGTGCAGGTAGGACCGCAGCGCCGACGAAGACGATCGGGGTCGCCTAGGTGCTCCGATTCCCCTGCGATAGGTCCTGCTCTGCAAAAGAAGAAAAACAGCACTATAAGTACAAAATTTCGGCAGAACCTCCCCTGGATGGGGAGGTTTCGATAACCTGCAAGAAAAACCATCGACACGATGGCCGACGTCCACATTTGGGGCACGATGGCCCACACATCCACAATTCCGGCATGAAGGCCGTCAACACATAAACGGCGCGATGGCCGACAACCAGAACGGGACGGTTCGTATACCTTGGGCGTTGGCGGGACGTGCACGCGGAGAAGAAGACGCCGACAACAGGACAGGACGTGGCGACGGAGGCACCTCCTCCCCTTCTTTATCCTTCTCCTCCCCTTCCCCTTCTTCTCCTTCTTCTTCCTCCCTCCTCCTTCCTCCACCTACCTCCTCCTTCTCTGCTCCCTGACCAGCGCCAGGGGCCGGGCTCCACACGGACAGACGGACGGACAGGGGCCAGGCGGCTTGCCTCGGGGCTGGGGAGGGGGCGCGCCGGCCGGACGGGCCCCGACGCGCAGGGACAGGGGCGCGCCGGCCGGACAGGCCCCGACGCGCAGGGACATGTGATAACTCTGCGGAGATGTCTGGGTTTTAGGCATCCAACATTGCAACTTCGTCGAAACCTTCTTGATTTTTTATCATAGCCTCTACATGCGATAACACGACGCCCAAACAGGTTTCGTGATTTTCGGACTTCGTTCGGATTTTATATAATTTAAATACACTTTTCCCACAAGTTGTTCGTCATGTTACGTCAACAAGATGGTCGACATTTCATGCGAGTTCCTGGATAAGGCATCAACATACACCAAATATCATTAATATAATTTTTTGAATCACCAAATTCCATTATTTCATGCACCTGCAGTTCAAATTCGAAGTATGCAAAAAAATTCAACGAAACGAAAAAAACTAACGAAATATAACAAAATAAGTCAAAATTGTCCCAAATATGAACATGCAGTTTTAAACAATGTGGGAAGGCCTCACAAAAAATGAGGTAAAAAAACAAAAAAAACAAAAATTCTTCCCCGAGTGCCTTCCCTGGCACTCGGGGAAGGAAGCCTCTTCCCCGAGTGTCCTGTTCTGACACTCGGAAAAGGGACTCTTCCCCGAGTGCCAGGGAAGGCACCCGGGGAAGAATTTTTGTTTTTTTAAGTTTTAACGGCGTGGGCGGGGTGAACCGTCAAGTAGCATGTTTCTTTGCCGAGTGTCGATCTTCCCCGAGTGTTGCACTCGGGGAAGAGTGCCTTTGCCGAGTGCTGCTCTTTACCGAGTGCCAGGTTCTCTGAGGCACTCGGGAAAGCCTCTCTTCCCCGAGTGCAATTCTTCCCCGAGTGCAACACTCGGGGAAGATCCTCTTTCCCGAGTGTCCGATTTCGGGGAAGATCCTCTTTCCCGAGTGTCCGATTTTTGGCACTCGGGGAAGCCAGCGACACTCGGAGAATTTTGTCTCTGCCGTAGTGCGATGGATCTCACGAAGAGATGCAACGAGCAGAAAAGGAGTTGGAAAAGGGTCAAAATAGGGTAATATATGTAAAAACGACAATTGAGTGTTGTATCCTTCAATCAGACATTGTCCTCTCGTATATATAGAGGCAGTGGTCTTATCCTAGTAAGAAACAAGTCACAAATGTAATCTCTAAGTTTTCTACATCCAAAATAGGTCCAAAACCGATTTGGAAACCAAACAAACTCAGAACAGGTGAAGTCGACTTAGCCAACTCAGGAGTCAGCTTAGCCGGTTTTTACGGGCTCGAGCACTGTGGCTCGCCCGGCAGTAGGGGAAGTCAGCTTAGCCAACTTGGGGAGTTGTCTAAGTCAACTTGGGCTGAGGAGTTGGCTTACCCGACCCCTAAAGTCGGCAAAGCCGACTTGGTCAGGGCATGTGCGGCTCGCCTTCTTCGTTTCGTGTTTCTTCGTCATTTGTTGCACCAAATATTATCCAACACCTGGGATGTTAAGAATTTGTTGACAAAGCCCAATTTTCATGTGGGGACACTTTTGAGTGTCAAAAATGTCCTTCATTGCTCCGCCGGTGTTCATTAGCTTCTCTACCGGTTCTGTTTGCCTCTTCCTACTACTGTTGGCGAACGGAACCGTGACTTCATAGTTCGTAGACGTGTTTGTTACACGGACACGCCAGGCTCGAGGGTTGTCGTTACCTCGATGGCATTTTCCACGCCTCGCGTTCTTTGTTATTGCGTCATGTGTTCTAAAAGACGATGCTTCCCAAATTTGATTTTTAGATGATCCTTGGTTTTATTCTTCTTCCACTGCACATTTCTAATTGGCCATTATCCGTGTTCGTATCTTCAGTTTAATAATCAGTTTGTGGCTGCTGTCTATATCTAGGATAATTTTACAATGCAAATTATGTAATTCCTATATGAAATAGAGATTGATAATACCGATAATCAATATGTACAATTTTATTATTTTTTTAATCTTCTTTGAAAGGTGCATGTATTTGAATTTTATTGACAATAACATTGCACACTGATGCTTCAGCCAAAGTAACAGCAACATTTAACGCGCCCCGGCTGACCGGCCTACTTAATTGTCCATCAAAGGAATTTTTGGAAAAAAAGGTTTTGTTACAGTACTCTCAAATGATTGTCGACCGTTAATCTGGATGGTAATTACCACATATTAATTCTTAGGAGGTAATAGAAGACATACTTATTTATTTAGTTTGAAGATAGAAAATATCTTGTAATTTTTTATAACTGAAATATATTGCAATTTGATCTATTAGACAAAATATCTTGCAATTAGATCAATTATCCAAAATTATTTCTAATTAATGTGTTACTTTGACATGTTAATATGTTGCATATTGAAGTGTCGTCACTTTTGTAGAGGTGCCAGTGATATATTAACACGATCTTGATGTTACGCGTACATTGATGTTACGTGACATGCACAGGTGATCTCTATGTAGAGTCGCAATACATGACTAAAATATGGCTCTTTTTTTACCCTAATATGACTTTTGTTGTATGTGTTTAGTCACATGTAAACGTGTATGATAACTAGCAAGCGTACATTACATGATTAAGGTTCCAGATTTTTTAACATGACATATGCAGGTGAAAGCGTGGACTAGATGGTTCAAAAATGCAATGAAAAATTTTCGTAACCGGAATGGATTATATGTGCGTGCCATCTAGGCGCCAACCCAAAAAAAAAGATCATACAAGGCGTAACTAGATTGGTGTCTATCCAAGCAAGGAGTCTATATATACATGGTGTATAAACATGTTAAAAAAAACTAGGAAAATTCTACCAAATGTAGTGACCTAGCAAAATTCTCGTTGGCTTAGTCTATCTATACATGGTTAGCAGAATTCTACCAAATGTAGTGACCTAGCAAAATTCTCGTTGGCTTAGTCTATCTATACATGGTGTATAAACATGTGGAAAAAAAACCTAGCGAGCATCTCCAATTCTCCCGACGAATATGAGCGGGCGACAGTGATTGCACGGGCAGCTGTGGTGACCATGGACTTCCACCTATGTGCAACAACTACGCTGCCAACCGCCATAGTACAACGTGACAACAGATAATGGAAACAGATCCAAATCAGTGAACGCAAGCAATAATATGCATTTTTTTAGAAAACACTAAATGCCTTCATGCCGCTATAGATTGTATTTCCGAAGACTTCGTTAAATGTCCCACTATTTGCAACACTGATTGTAGGAGTAATAGGAAATAATCACACAGCAAGCTGGTATATTGTTCATATAAACACACGTCTAAATAAATTTTAAAGAATCAATCCAGAACCCTAGTATAGTAGTAGTAGTAGCTAACTAACTATAACAATTATAAGAGGATCGAGAGAGGCTAGCAATAAGCTGCAAGGTCTACTAGCAGCTAGCTAGTAGACGACTACGAGCTAGGTAGCTAGCTAGGCGGCCAGGAAGTCCTGGATGTTTGCTTGCATTCGATCCATTACGGCCTCCCATCCAGCTTGGGTAGGGTTCTCGTTGTCCCAGTAGAAGGAGTCGCCGGGGCTGGCGCAGACGGTGTACTGAGCTCTGCCGTTGCCGTCGAGCTGGCCACAGTAGGCGTTGTGGTCCGAGGTGTCACAGCACGGCGTGGAGCCTGCATATGCGAACAACATGCATGTTTTTAGACTTGATGCATAGATATATAGATTACATACATACATTGAATTGAAGTAGCTAGCGTAGAACACACGAACGTACGTACCGGACATGGATCGGGCAAGGCTGTTGAAGGCGTTGTAGAGGTCGAGGACGTGGACGTCTTCCAGCCCATCCAGCTTGCGCCTGAGAAGCCTGTTGTGGGTGGTGGCGAGCGTGTTGCCGGCACCGTCACACTGCGCGTAGCCCACGGACTGCCTGGCGCGCCATGGCGAGCAGCCAAGCGGGGGCATGGAGTTCACCAGCACCTTGGACACACCGATCTCCTGTAGCCTTTTGACGCCCTCGACGATGCCGTCTGTCACGTCGTCGATGTAGGCGTCGAGCTGCATGCACATTATGTCGTCCATGGTCAGGATCATGATCATGATCAAGCAAACAAATTAGATTAGATCAATCTATAGCTACTAGCAAACACACGCATAGCTATATAAACTAACTAAGGCCTAATGTAAGAGTAGATCGATCTAGCTAGCTAGTACTTACTTGGCGGTCACTGGTGGTGTCGCTGACGTGCGAGTAGTCGTGGCCGTTGGAGACGGACAGAAGCGCGACTGAATTCTCTAGCTGCTTGTCGTCGACGGATCCGTGATCCACAAATTCACCAAACTGGCTGATCTGCTCGCGCAGGGACAGCTGCTCCTCCTGTCGCCCGTTCATGACGCCGGAGAAGGGCACGGCGAAGTTGATGCCATTCTCAACCTCAGCCCTGGTGCGTAGGTGCTGAACACCGGAGGGGACTCATCCATCCCCAGCATCTGTGCTGCAAACAAGAAAACCAATCCATCCAACATCCATCTATCTACTTCAGTACGTACGTACGTTATCTAACAAGGTATATATATGCATGGCAGATCGATGCGATCGTACGTGGTGAACGTTTATGTACTTACCCAGGAAATCCGACTGCACTAGACCGTCGGAGAGGCGGCCGGTTGCTTGGTTGCCATGGGACGAGTCAGAGCTCCCGTAGGGGTAGTACCACCCACGCGACACTCTACTCCTCCCTGATGATTTAGGGAGGTTGCCGGCATCGACGAAGGAATCGCCGAAGACGAAGAGCGTGTAATCCTTCCGCCGCCGTTCGCGGTGGCGCCGGCACTCAACGTGGAGGCTACCTGCGGTGAGGATGAGGAGGAAGCACACAACCAAAAGGGTTTTCCTCATGGTTGGGTTTGTTCAGATGCGTTAGGGTGGGCGCCGATACCCCTCCCTGCGCTGTGCCTCTGTATATATAGATATATTGCTGGCCGGATAAAGCACTTCATCTCCAATAGAGTCCTCGTATATCGTTGAGGATTGTAGGGGAGTCTTCACGTCCTACGATGTGATATGTAATAAAACTATCGAGATCGACGGGTTATCTCAGAGTTCCATAGCAAGTCCCATCTAGAAAAGCCAAAACGTCTGCGATTTGAAATATCGGGAGTACAAACCAACATGACCGTGGTGCTTTGTTCATTACTAGCAAACATGCTCGTGCGTTGCAACGGGAGAAAATCAAAACTTATATCTCTACTTAGTTACTAAAGATATGTATATTTTGCATTTAATCCATTGGCAATGAAGCAATAATTACATTAGAACATTGACCATCTATAAAAGTGCAATATGGAATAATGCCACCCAAATTTGCAAATTCCTTAGGTCATGCAAAATAAGTAGAAATATATAAAATCATATTGTTTTTGAATCAAATATATAAACATATTTAATTATCCATGAAAGAGCGGAAAAATTCAGTGGTAAAGAGGAATCCATGAAGTCAGCCCGCCTCGCTCACTAGGGCTCCGCCCTAGTGGCTACGTCTGCTCGCCGTTGCCGTCGCCGGCGGCAACTACCTCGCCGGCGTCTGCCACCTCCTCCCCACCCCCTTCTCCTTCTCCGCTCGCCTCCCCACCCCCAACAGGTGGTCGTGGCCGCCTCGCTACCCGGCCGCCACCGCCTCCCGCAGCGCCACGTCTGCTAGCGGAACCCCCGTTGCCGCTTTCTAGTTAGATTGGACAATAAACTGCGCAAGATTTCTGTTCATGATTTAATTAATTAGACCATTAGCTGATCTAGGTTATAATAAGAATATTTTTTATTCTTAATCAAATTACATCAATAATTTAGTAGTAGGAATATTTGATTATTAAGGATTAGGGAAGGATGAAGGATCCAAAGATACATAATATTGTATTTATTATTTATTTTTATGTTTATAGGAAAAATATGAGAGAATCGGGAAAACAAAAATGACATGCAAAATAATAAGGGAAAGGGAATGAGACGGACCTGATAGCCCAGAAAAGAAAAAAGAGAAAAAGAAGAAGAAAAAACAAAAAGAGGAAATCAGGAAAAGAAGTGAAACGAATACGAAAATGAAAAATGGATCCGATAAGTAACTGATCCGAGATAGTCTAAAAAACGGAAAAGGCCGAATAGACGACGGAATAGGAAAACAAAAAAAACCGAATTTACTATATATAGTAATCGTATTGGGTATGGACTTTTTTTGCGCATGAATATGGACTCTTTGGTTAAACATAGACCATACACAATCCAATACGTTTTGAAATTGGACTCCGTATTACGCTAGACAAGAGCTATTCTAATTCGTATGAGCATGGATTATATATATAACTCTAGACGAAAGAAACTCTCGACTACCGGTAGTTTGGGGGAGATGGACGAAAAAATAGTCAGAATTTTTGCCTCTTTATTATTTGATATAGACACACACACACACACACACATATATATATATATATATATATATATATATATATATATATATATATATATATATATATATATATATATATATATATATATATATATATATATATATATATACCGGAAAGAGGCGGCACCACAACAAATGTAAATTTTGTCCATCTTGAAATCTTATTTTACAATAATGATTATGTGTCATCATCAATTTAGTTGGCACAATAAATTTCCACGGTAGTTCGTGATGCAGCCAATCTCACCGATTTTATTACAACCGTTGGTGATGTTTTGTTAGATTTCATATAGATGGGCCTGGCCCATATTTTATAATCTAATAAATTCTAGGGTCATAGTAAATCACTTCGGTGTATCATAGTTTTAATCCGATTTTGACTTTTGTTGAGTCAACCACGCGTGCACCTATTGAGAAGTTGAAAGAGGCTAAGGAAGTGCCACATGGGCGCGTGCGCTGGCGCCGAGCCGTGGTGGGCGATGCGTGCCGTGCACGTGCGCGGTGGTTTTTGTCACTCGGGTATGGAGTCAGCATACGTACCGCAGGACGCAAATTCTTCCCATAGCCTGTGGTTCCGCTCGCACGGAGGCACGGTGAGGCGGCGCGGTCACACGGCTGTAGCTCTCCTCCTGGAACTCCTGCGCTACTTAACTCAACGCTCTAGCCCATGAAAGAGTCACACTACTCAACAAACCGCCGTCGTAACTCTTCTTGTCGAGCCACCTCTGAGTCAGCATATGTACCGCAGGATGTGGATTCTTCCCATCTAAGCTGTGGTTCCACTCGCAAGGAGGCGCGGTCACACGGTCGTAGCTCTCCTCCTGGAACTCCTGCGCTACTTAACTCAACGCTCCAGCCTGTGAAAGAGTCATGCTACTCAACAAACCACTGTCGTAACTCTTCTTGTCGAGCCACCTCTGAGTCACGTGCACAATTGTTTTTGCCACTCTGGTAGTCAGCATACGTACCGCAGGACGCGGATTCTTCCCGTAACCTGCGGTTCCGCTCGCACGGAGGCACAGTGAGGCGGCGTGGTCACACGGTCATAGCTCTCCTCCTGGAACTCATGTGCTACCTAACTCAACGTTCCAGCCTGTGAAAGAGTCAAGCTACTCTACAAACCACCGCCATAACCCTTGTCGAGCCACCTCTGAGTCAGCATACGTACCGCAGGACTCGGATTCTTCCCGTAACCTGCGGTTCCGCTCGCACGGAGGCATGGTGAGGCGGCGTGGTCACACGGTTGTAGCTCTCCTCCTAGAACTCCTACGCTACTTAAGTCAATGCTCCAGCTCGTGAAAGAGTCATGCTACTCAACAAACCACCACCGTAACTCTTCTTATCGATCCACCTCTGAGCTTCCCCGTCCCAGCCTCTGTGCGTACAGAAAATTGGGAGAGCAGGCCTCCGGAACCACCGTCCACATCTACGACACCTGCTCGGGTGTGTGCGGGCGATCAATTTTTTTTTAAAAGAGGCAAGCCTCAGCTTTTAAGAAAGCAAAGTTCGATACAGACTGGGGACCCTAGTTTCACAAGAGCACAAATTGACAGACAAAGCCTAAGATAGTCTCTAAATCTCATAAATGTCGGTGGACACCATCATCATAGGCTTGAACTTCCTCATCCAGCGCAGGATTTCATCCTTCACTTGCACAATGCGCTGACGATCCTCATCCTTGAGTAAGAGACTCCACTTCTGCATGAAGGTTAACGCAATATACATGATGTCAGAAGGGTTCTTTGGAAACTTGCTCTCAGTGGACATGTTGTTCCTGTTGTTCCACATAGCCCAAGCAAAACCTGCAAATACAAACAATGTTAATCTAGTGGGAAGGGGCCCCTTGCCCATCATCCATGTTTCAAAGAATGGCGATCAGGTTTTTGGGGAGCGCCGTCACGATTGCTCGCCTCCGAATTGTCGTCCACCTTCTGCCCCGAGCGCATGTCTTGATCAACCTCGCCGGATCGTCTTCACGTCTCCTTCCTGGTGTCCACCGGCGGGTCTGCACTGCGAACATCTTCCTGCACCGACTATGATCCATGACTCCGAGCAACACACGATGGCAACTCGTGTGAATGGAGTCGCCAATGCCTTGAGCATGAGCCCCTCCACAGGATATAATTCCTTATCCAAATTCCTGATAATTAATACTATTTATGCCATGATCAGTATGTTCATAATTGTCACCGGTAGTTTATACGTGCACATATCTGTTATCACGAAATTAGTAAATTACCACTATTTTTCTAGATTAAATTTAACATGAAAATGCCTAAATACTTAACATGTTTTTCACCAATGGTTTGTATAATGATTTGCACCGAATTGAAGGTTCATTCTAGTCGTTCAAAATGATTTTCAACAACGATTGGCGATGATTTTCACCACCGATTTGTATAATGAACTGTTGGTGAAAATGCGGATGATTCTCACTGACAGTTCATTATACGATATGTTGGTGAAGAAGTGTGCATCTCTCTTTCTCCATGCGTGCTTCCTGAGGGTGGACGACAGGTGGGGCCCTCAAGCCCATGTGTCACCCTCTCTCCGGTGGAGATTGACCAGCCCCGGTGTGGCGGTCTGGCATAGTGGCCCTACTCTTTTCACACTTAAGGGGGCGTTGCACATTACCTACTGGGCCTCCAACTCCTTGCTACGGGCCGCGGCTCTGAACCCAGAAATAACCTTATATTATAATACGCCAGAAAAAAATACCGCATAAGCATTCACACGTGTTTATCTGAATGGAAATGAGACACGATGCCTGTATGAACTATCACCTACATACGTGCTGTGGTGTGCTAGAAGAAACAAGCTAGCATTGCATGCGTATTCAAGCATATACATGCTTGTCTCGTTATATATATATATATATATATATATATATATATATATATATATATATATATATATATATATATATATATATATATATGTGTGTGTGTGTGTGTGTGTACCAAAATTGGAAGAAGGTGTTGCAGGGATTCGAAAAGATCCCAAGATTATGTCACTAAGAAATCAATTGCGTGCAGATCGGAACCAGCTGATTCGGATGTAAAAACTAGAATCGGCTTTCTCCAGATATCACCAGCAGATAACGACAAAGGCTATGATTCGACGCCAGGACGAAACACGTTGGACTCTACAAAAAGGAAAATATTAGAGTCCAAGTTATCTTAAATTATGAATATTTTCTTTAGGGTCAAAAATTGTGATAAGTCATGCGTAAACAGGAGTCGTGCGCAGGTCCCGGGTATAAATATCAAAGCCCCGGCTATTGTAAAAGGACATCAATCAATTCAATATACAAGTTATTTACTTTTTCGGCTCCGGCCACCCCTTAGGAGTAGGAGTAGAGTAGATCTCGGCGAGTTCTTCAGCAAGTACGGCTACATCGATCTGGTCGACCTTCACTGCTTGTTGTGAGTACCGTCAT